CGAGACAAGTTATATGATTACAGATGTTATTGGAACTTTGAATACAAAATATTCCTTAGTAATTTTCTTCCAAATATTACTTTAAAATATTTAGAGCCAGTTATAGGTCATAAAATGAGTATACAGGATATTTCTGTCCTGTCGCCTATATCAATGAGTGACAAATTTTTGTTAAGTGGATTTACTAAATTTATGGATGAATATCAAAAGAGTATATTAACCCTTGGGAGTGCTGCTATTCAAAATATACATTTATTTTAAGTAATATTGTAAATTGTTTTAATGTCCCAGTATCTTAAATAAACATACAATATTTGTATGTATGTTGTCCTTTTTAGGCGTTTTGCAGACGACGGGGCGGGGCGGGCATTTTGTCCGAGAAGCAATAAAAACCGCGTCTGCCCGTTGATGTCTGCGCCTGCCCGCGCCGCGTACACAAAGCACACGACGGGCAGAGGCAGTCAGTTCAGGACGTTTGTTCTAGTGAATAGTCCATCACTAAAAAGCGCGTGGCGCGGACTGAGGTAACCGCCCTGCGCCGCCCCGTGCCGCCCCGTGCCGCCCCGTCTGCGTTACTGCATATAAACTGGTTTGTATGATCCACGGCGGGCAGCCGCGGACACTGGCGGCGGTCTTTTTGCCCTCTGTGTGCGTTTGTAATATAGGATTCACTTTGTGCTATCGTTCGCGGGGAAATTAACTGGCCCGCCCCGCCCCGTCGTCTGCAAAGCGCCTTAAGGTTCCATACCCAAAAACTAAGACTGCTGCCGTCTGTCTGTCTGTCACTAGTAGACGTAATTTCGTTGCTGCTATAACAATAAATATATATTAAAAAAAATGTATAAAAATTTAAATGGGGCTCACATGATTTTTTTTTATTAACGGCAACTTGGAAGATTCACAGAATATTTAGTTGTATATTCACTTTTGTAATAAATAATTAAATTCAAATAAAATAAATATAGGGGGTTCCCATACAAGAGACATGTATTTTTGCCATTTTTTTGCTCAATATTATAGTATAGTATCTAATGTTGTATAGATAATGGTAAAGAACCCTTCATGCGCTAGTCTGACTCGCTCTTGGGCCTTTTTTTATATTGTTGCTAATACAAAAAGCAAATAAACTATTATTATTTTACAATATTATTATATGATTCATAAAATTAATCTGCAATATATGTTATTTCATACAAAAAGGTAATTCATAATAATTAAAAGATTATTATACCCTAAATTCGTTCTATTAATTTTTTGACTGAACAACTTGATATTATACACAATTAAGAAAAAGAAGTGTATTTTCAGTTATCAAGTATGTGTATTTATAACTAAAGTGATTTATGTTAAGGGTTTGAATGAGTATTCCATTTTCATCATAATTCAGTCATACAACACTAACTGCTGCATATAGTCTCCAGCTAATCCTGAGCTGTCTTCCCTTAACCTTTGATAGATCCTCTGTCCTCATGGGCTGTCTGGTTTGTGGTCAATGTCGGTTACTTTAGTTCTGCAATTTTTTTTGTTCTTCTGTTTCTGATCCCATCATGGAGGGCAATATTGAGCTTAGCTCTCTCCATTGTCGGCTGTGGAACCCTAAGGGTTCCTTTAGGACCAATAGTAATCTACCGAATTTCGCTTTCGTAGATCATTTTGGCAACACACTGGTTAAAGACTTGCTTTGGGCGAGATACGGAATTTGGACCAGAAGTTTCAAAAATATCTTCCGACGCAGCAGTGAAATTTCGGAGATAACATTTCTTAGAGCCTGGTTCCATAATTCGACCGACATAGTGACGTTTACGTAAAGTTACCTGAAACACCTCGCGTCATACCTCACACAGACCTAGATTTCTTTTTTATTCTTCTAGATTTTTTTCTGCTTGTGTGTAGTCAACTTGGCACCTTTGGAGAAGCTGCAGTACTGCACAAGTCTCGATCGTATCAAAAGCTTTCTTTTAGTCCACAAACGCCCACCAAGTGCTCAATTATACTCCACGGTTTTCTTTTTAATCTGCTGCAGCGAGTGAATTCAATTTATAGATAATCGTGAAACCTGCAGCGCCATGATGCCTAACAGTTCTCGAAAACAAGGTTCAGAAGTTAAATACATAGATGATGATAGTTCTTCAGTAGTATATTATCAGTTTCACCCTTTTTGTGGAATAGAACAATCTCAGTTCCGGACATTGCCTTCGACGATGACGGAACTGAAAAGCTTCTGAAGTCGGGTAAGCTTGGTTTTGGGATCTTGAGCCTAGCTTCCAGCAGGTGCTTGTGTGGAGTATAACTCCCGATAGGAACTCAATCTGCCTCAGGATTTTAGCCTTAGTAGAAGTAATGCTACCCCTAGTGGCGTCATTACAGAAATAGTCTTCAGTGTTCAGCTTAATAAGTTGACTTTGCCCAAGATTTTTTGCAAATAATTTGGAGCCCTCGCTACGCTTTATAGCTTCTTAACACGATTGGTATTATTGGAAGGTCACACTTCAAAGACTTTTAAATCTACCCACCGGTACCGACTTGCATCCCCTGAGTTCTGTAAGTTCATTTCATTTCGCTGTTCAAAATGGATCAGCGAAATGAATCATTAGAAATCTAATGAAACGTTACAGTTTCGGAACTAGGCACTCAGAATTTAGTTTTATTTAGAGTACCGTGACTACGGAGTCTACAGACACATGCACGAATGTGTTACGTATGGTATTAAATCACAATTTCCAAGAACATCGACGAAAACACAAACCAATAAAAACCATACACGAAACGATAAATATTAACGTCTCCTTTTTTGTTTGAAGTTTGGTGCAATTGAGATCGACCAGAATATGTCGACAAAAAAGCACATATTTTTTAATTATGTTTCTGTAATCAATTCAATCTAAACGAGAAACGAAAGGCTCGAATAATCTCAACTGTGGGCTTAACATCATATATCTAAATATTTCATATAAATTTTTCAATCTGACAATAATGATGTTTCATAAACGTGACCATTTTACGCATTATCATACAAATCTGTCATACACCTCAAGGTCTGCGCTCCGACCTCCAAACCTCGCGAGCTTTCAACTCTTAACTCTAAAACCGATTCGAAGCTCTTGAAAACAGCTTGTATGTGGAGGATCTAAACAACATGGTAGTGAGTGGTAGTCGATACTACCTACCTGGAAGAAGAATGGGTAGTATCATTATCAAAACCCGCTGTAAAAGTATTAAGAAACTTACGACAAGACACTATTCGTTCTCTGTCTAATTTCCTCCATATTCGCCCTTTTCGGGCAGGTAGTTTGAATTCAGTTCCGTCAAGGCTGCCAAAATAACGTTATTGTCAGTCAGTCCACTGAGCAAGTAAATTCGGTCCATCGGAAATCTCGTAAGAGAAACAACAATTTTTTGGGTTACTAATTAATTTATGTTCGGTCAATTCGCTACAATTTGAAATACTAAAAAATTCAAGAAACCCAATTGGGATAAAGTTCCACTGTATTTCTTATGTGTTATAATATAAGTATTTTATTATGTCTACTGAACTAATTACATGATATTTATTAAGTTTTATACCTATTTTGTTACTGTTTCTATCTATTCTAAAGGTTGAACCTTTCATTATGAAGCTTATCGTTGGCGACTTATTTTGCAAACCCCTCTAGCGACGATTACCGTCGCACCTGTCGCCCAACGTGGGGCCGAATATGCAGAACAGTGGGACAATCGCCTTAAGAAATTGCTATGGCTATCGCTATCGGCTACGATTTCATTTTGTTATTTCTGACAACCTAAGGTTTTCAAATACCTCAAGCTCATTTTCTTCAATATTTTTATTACCAATGCAAAAGAATAAAAGGAGCGCGAGGCATTTGAAAACCTTCGGGGGTCAGAAATTACAAAATTAATTCGTAAGCGATAGCGTTAGCCATTGCGATCTCGTCAGGCGATTGGCCCCCAGAATTTGCCTGTCAAGTCAGTACCGTTGGCTAAATGGATAGATAACTAAGTCTTTGAAGACCTTCGTCAAATTAATACCAATTGAATTAAAGAAAGCTTTAGAGCGGTACGAGGGCTCCAAAGTATTTGAAAGAAATGTTAGAGATGCAAAAATAAACAGTATTATTTGGAAAAGTCAACTGACGAAATTGAAAACTGACAATTCTTGGTAGCACTTTTTCTACTAAGGCTTCATGAAATCCTGAGGGAGATTGATTTTTTGTCGACATTTATACTCCCCACAAGCACCCGCTGAAAGCAAGGCCGAAGATCCTCGAGCCAAGCTTACCCGATACTACTCTGAAGGTATCCCGTACGTCAGCTTGTATGAAATTTATTTGACGCTCAAACAAATTTAAAGAGCAAGGCAGCGGGCGAAGATGATTTATTTAGTCTTGCAGGAATTTTTAGTAAAAGACGTAATTAGAAATAACCATAGCAGCTGCTAAGTTAAAAGTACTTAAGAAATGAACAAGTATTATTATGATTCCCTTTTCATGTCAAATTACCTACTTAGAACTACCGATATTCGCGAGACAAATTATTGATCAATCGGAATTGTAAGAAATGTGTGGGGCAAGCCGCAAAGCACCAGAATTCAGACCGAAAATACGTTGTAATAAAGATAGAAGATAAGGTGGATTTTTCAAATGTTACTTTTAGTTCTCTTTACGACAATGATTTTTCAACAGTCGAGTCGCCCTAAAACACCTACTAAGTCTGTTACTAATTAATATAATGGCAACATCACTCTTTACTCATGTGGCAACAATGACACGATATGGATTTTTTCGCGCCGGCGCGAAACGTGTTCACTCACTACAGTGCCTATTCTGCTAACTTACAATGTGTCGTTAACTTAGATTTCACTAAGAATTGTGAAAATAAAATTATTGATTGGATAAAAATGTGACTGCAAATGTGTTAGTTAATGATATCGTGTGTGAATAAAGGTAGTAATTTCAAGGAGTTCCCATTGTGAATGACGAATCTGTGGAGCGTCTTCAGTTAAAATGGGATCTATCGTACTCAAAAGTTTGTCTATCCTTTTGGGAGTATTTTTTATATTCGTCGGCATAACGAAGCTGACCCCATTTATTTCTAAGGAATTACACAAAGATTTGGTGAGTGATCTTCTATTATTGTCATTGTTTTTGTTATTAGGCATAACTAGTTGAAAGGTCACTATGTGCATACATCGAGATTTTTGTTGCTGAGCTATATTGCTTGCTATTTTCGTACTTGGCTTGCGGCCTAATATCATCGTGGGCTCCGAGTCATCTCTTAGTAGATATGTTGCGACAGGCAAGCCGCGTTTAGTTGAATTGATTATTGAACACAGATCTGCTCAGCCTCATTAATAACCTTATGATCATGTAATTATTTATGTCTTTACAATGCAGTAATAAGAGCGACTTTCATAGTGCACGCGTATCTGTCATGACCTTGACTGTACTAATTGATAATCTTTATTTTATTATGAAGTAATCACCTAACCTATTCACCAAAATAGCGAGATTGCAGTACTTTCATGTACTGTTTTTAATATGTTTAAAGTTTTCAAATCTTAAAATGACAATATATTGTATTGACATAAGTATTTGTTTAAGAGTCAACGAGAGTGCGTTAAATGGCCACATAAATTACGAAATTAAAATGTCACATAATACGAAACACATTTATGATGTTTCATGCAATATCGCCATTCAAGATCATCCGCAATTAAAAACATCACCTTCTATAATTACAAAGTTATGTGATGTAAACCATCTTGATAGTAAATACGCGATCAGCGAGCGATCTCTTCTATAGTTTCTTCATACTGTATGGCCATTAATATGTTTAAAAAAGTACCGAACAAATTAATAGAATTGATGTTTAGCCAATTTAAAACAAAGTTTATAAAATTATTGTTCGATAAGACCTATAGCAATGTACAAGAATTCATAACGGATAATGTTAATGTAACCAATTACATTGTTTGAATTTATTATTAATGTATACATACTATTTACATATACATATACATTACAATTATTAATAAATGAATTTTAATAGATTTTAATACTAATTAAAGCATTACTATAATGTTCTTTCCGTAGGTATCAATGGTTTGAATAGTTGATCATGATCACTCAACATTTAAAACGTTGATAAAAGTGACATTGTTATTAAAAAATACATTTTACACTTGAAGTTATTATAATATTATTAATTATTTACTGAAATTTATTATAATACCTATTAACTACTGTCAATCATGCTGTGGATATCCTTACATATTTGCAAGTGGATAAAAGCAACAGGTCAAGTTGGAATTTTGTTAATTTGAACCTGAATAATTTATTTACCATGCCCTAGCAAGTGGGTGATTTATTATGATTATGAAATTATTTTACCTATTTATTGAGTTTTAAACTTCATTTTAATTACGAAAACGCGAATATAGAAAAAAAAAATCCTAGCATACTTTTCATGGAAGTCTGCTATTCCTGGAATGGCAAAAATCTATAGTTTCCATTCCCCCCGCGACTTCGTCCGCGTTTAAGTTACTTTATCGAGTATCCCACGGGAACCTGTCATTTTTCCGCATAAAAAGTATCACTACGTCTCAATCCAGCTAAAATAAACTATTGCGTGCCAAATTTCATCCAAGTCTGTTCAGTCGTTTTTGTGTGATTGAGTAATAAAAAGTCCTTCCGCCCGAGTTGGAATAGAAATTAGTTTATTCAATAATATTTGCAGGAAGTAGGATAATACAATGACCATTATTAGTGTTACAAGTAGCCAGAACATACTTTTTAAGCATACTTAGTTCTAGCTTAAAATCAGTGTTTTGCTCTGAGCAACAGCATCACTGAGCTGTAGCCATATTGTATCAATCTCTGTAAAAAATAATAAATGGTAAATTTATAAAAAAAAAAACAGTTTGTAATTTTTCGATCTCATTAGGAACTTTGTCATCTGATTTTATTATAATATTCGAATAGAATAAGTAGGAAATGAAGTGGTCCTATAACACTTCCCTGGGCTACAACACACGAACCTTTTACTGTTACATATTTATGTAAAAACTGATTGCTTAGGGACAATTTAATGAAGGTAAAACTTCGAAGTAGCAGAACCTTATCAGGTTTGAATTTTTTAATATACTTATTAGTAAATCTCCGGCTGTAACGCCACATGCGATAGAAGGACGAAAAGTTTTGAGGTATAAGTTTCACTTAAAAATGTTTGAATACTAAGAAATTTCATTTTCCATTGCTAACAATAACATCTTTTAAATGGTTACTTTGATGTTACATGGTTACTGAATCGATCAAGAAATAAATACTTAGTTTTTGAATTGTCTGAAACCTATAGAGTTGTCATTAAAAACATCCAGTCCTCAAATAATACCGAAACTAGCTTTTAAATTTTCTTAAGTATTAACGAAATTAATCAACTTACAATAATGGTGAGTAACAAAAATACTAAAATGATTTGGATAAAAAATTGGATCGTAACCTAATAAATAAAATTTCGGGTCACAACAAAACTTATCCGAAACTGCTTGACAAATTCTGACCGATATGCGTATATTCAGAAGGTCTGAGAATAGGACGAAAAACTATTTTTATTTACCCCCATGCTTTAAAACCTCTATTAAAGATTCTGAAATAGTCAGCTTGATGCTAATAGTAAAACATCCAATATCATAATAATATTTTACTTATTTATTTAATCTTTTTTGCCTTTACACTGCAAATGGCGCACTTAATGCCAATATGGCATTCTCTATCAGTCAACCGGAAAACTGGAAAGAACATGAAAAAAACGGCAGAATCAAAGAACAGAGATTATTAAATCAAACAATGAGCAAAACAAGACTTAACTATACATACGACCATACTTACATAAATAATAAAAAACATTATAAAATATACCACCCGTTTGGGGTGTTGTAATGTTTTTTTTATTTATTTCATAATAACACTGGTCCCGATTCTGGCGTGATTCTCTAAACTTAAAACTAAATTTAACATCAGTTTCTCCTTTTCGTTCTGTATAGAGAATGACAAGGATATACTGCTGTCAAATTTAAGTTTAGGTTTAGAGAATCATGCTAGAATCGACACCACTGTTTCGATTTATAAACCCCTTCCGCGCTAAGGGCTTATTCATCATAAAAATTATGGTTTTTTCTTGTAAGCGTTTTTCTTGTTAATTGTATTCCGGCGAAATGAGAATTCGTCCTTTTGCGAATCCGATCAAGTGCGAACAAATGATTTTATTAATCTAATGCAATTTGTCTACGGTTGAATTGAATTTAATAAGTACATATTTTTATTACAGAGAAAAGAATATGTGAGATACGCAAAAGTATTTCCCCTGACAGAAATGTTAGATTTAAAATTACCATCGAAGTGGTACCGGAGAACAGTCGGAGCTTTAGAAATAATATTTGGTTTAGTCCTGGCACTGATACCAAGCCGTGAGTTGTTTATACAGTCTTTATAGAGTAAGATCCCAAGGCCACCAGACCTTACTTATTTTCTGATGGAAAAAATATGGATGATCGAGTCGTGTTAGTGGTACAATGAACTTATGAATACATAATCGCCAACTTGTCGAAAATCTCTTCCAGCCAACCTTGGTGGTGTCGAGATTCCAACTTAACGGGAAACAAAAAGTGCCATAAAACTTAACTAAAAATAATTGATTACTACTCTTGTGATTATATATATTACATACCGGTAAAATGATCCTACTTTGCTCCAATATTTGCTCCAAAAAGGGAATTATTAATATTGTTTACACTATTAATAATTGTGAAATATAATTAGATGTATTAATTTAAAAAATATGTTATCTTAAATATTTTTAAAGTTAAATCAACGCAATCAAGTATTTCATAATATATATAAATCTATGAATAGCAAACTTGCGGATATTATGCCGTAAAGTGCCCGTAAGAGTTACGGGGTCCTCAGTGGGCAGCCAGTGCGGGGGCTTGTGAGGCTAGCCGGAGCCAGGTGTGAGGTCCGTTCGGCGGTGTGCCTCTTAGAGGCGCCGTCGTCTGTAAATAGAGGTTTAGCCTGCGTCACAAAAAAAAGGAAAAACGAATACGTAAATATTTCATTGGATTGCTGAGTTAGTCATAATCTAAGCTCACGTTTTTGGCGTGCTCGTATTTTCTTTGGTACGATGGGGTAAATTTGTGTCTGGAGCAAACTAAACCCAAAAGTAAGCATTTTTTATTCATTGTAAGTGGTTATTAATACACTTTTTATCAAGGAAATTAAAAAATTACCAAAGAAGGGGATATGTCTCTTAAATGAAGAAATCGCTAAAATTCTGGATGTGGCTTAAACCCGTTGATGAAATTCAATACGATTGGCAAGATATATTGGGATGTATTGATGTCCCTAAAAAATAGTACCCGCCGTTAAATATACACTCCCGGACTCTTGAATCGAGCCATCATTCATTCCCGGGCCTAAAAGCCCAATACACAAAAAATATACAATATAGCAAAAAAGTTTTTATGCATTTTTAATGCTGGAATATTTTATCGTCTTTCCCGCATGTATTATTCCAAATTTGAATTTTAGAATTTAAAATAAAGAATAAAAGCCGAGCTTGGTCACTGATTTGAAAAAAATAATGACTGTTGAAAGTTGCTCTTGAAGCAATTTAACGTCGATTTGGTTTTAATTTTCGCAATTGTTGTAAACCAAAGTTTAGTTTAGTTATTTTTCTATAATTTGAACCGTTTTTATAATAAACCGCTATAAAATTATGGATACTTCACCTGAAGTAGCCGCGCAAGCTGTAGCACTTCTTCAATCTGGGCTAAGTCAGCGAGATGTGAGTTCACAACTTCACATAAGTCGTTCCGCTGTTCAAAGAGTGTACCACCGATACCTGGAGACTGGCAGCTTCGTTCGGCGAACAGGAGGACCTCGTTACCGAGTGACAATGGCGAGACAAGATCAATACATTGTCACTACTAGCTTACGAAATCGACGCCTTAACTCTGTTCAGATACAAGAACAGCTCAGGAACTTTCACGGATCGGCTGTAAGTGCTCGGACCGTTAGAAGGTGACTCAATGAACGTGGTTTAAAGCCCCATAAGCCAGCCAATAGACCTAAATTGACACGAGCACACCGAATAGCCCGTCTAGAGTTTGCGCGCGAACATCTAAATTGGACTCGACATCAATGGAGCCAGGTTCTCTTCACAGATGAGTCCAAGATAATGCTATACGGTAATGACGGAAGGAGTAAAGTGTACCGAAGACAGAGTGAGCGTTACGCGCAATGCTGTATTGATGAGAAAGTGAGCTATGGTGGAGGATCATGGACAGTCTGGGGAGGAATCTCTATGGAAGGCAAAACTGAGCTAGAGGTAGTGACGGGACCACGACTGCCGCCCCTAGATGGCAATAGATACATTCGCCAATGTTTAGAGAACCACGTGATGCCATATGCTGGATTTATTGGCCAAGATTTCGTTTTAATGCATGATAATGCAAGGGCCCATACTGCGGGAATCGTCAGGGAGTACTTAAATGACATTGGTATCACTGTCATGAGATGGCCAGCGCGAAGTCATGATATGAATCCTATAGACCATCTATGGGATGAGCTGAAGAGGCGTGTTCGAGCTCATCATCCTGCCCCGCAAACCATGCAGGAGCTCAAAAATGTAATTTTGGAAGAATGGGAGGACATTCCTCAACATGTCATAACGACATTGATCAATTCTATGCCAAACCGTATGAGAGCTGTCATAAATGCACTGGGAGGCAACACAAGTTACTAAATAAACATTTCTTTTCATGTAAAACATGTCTTTATTTAAAAATCAATTAGATTTTTTCCTTGAAAAAAAGCAAATATGGATTTGTTTCAAAGTAACTCGACTTTTTTAATAAACTGTAGTTCAAATTTAGAACAGTGGCACTCTAAATGAATGATGAGTATACCAGCTCCAAAACTGCATCAAAACATTTTCCTTCTACATACATCTTTTATAAGTTACAGTACTCCAAACCAAAAAAATCAAGGTGGCTCGATTTAGGTGTCCGGGAGTGTATTTCGTTCCTGAACTGCCCGATTGGGAGTTTCTTTTTTTTAATTATAATTGTAAGTTTTAATTTTTGAGAAGTTTATTTCGCTGTTTTATTTTCGACTGATTTTTGTCTAGCATTTGTAAACCACGTTTCTAGTTAAGATAGGAGTAACTATTATAATTTAAGAATATAAAAAACTGACCATTTAATTTATTACAGATATTAAACCATTTTTCGACCTTTGAAACTATCAGAAAAGGTAAAGCGTATTATTACTAGAGCATAGTGTGATTAAGAAAAGCATAACTTTGATCAAAATGCTTCTAAAATTTAGATTGTTTATGGAATATACCCAGGATCAAAGTTACCCATGACCACGGGTAACGCACCCTCTCGGCTGCCTTCTTTCTTCTTCGAGGCAGCTGCCTCCCATGCCGTCTTCCAACGGAGCATGGCCTCTACCATGCTCCGCAGCGAAAGAGTTCCGACTCCCAGCGCCGCGACCGGGTCGCGACGCTGCTGCCGCCAGGCCGAGCACTCCAACAAGGTGTGCTCGGCCGTATCGTCCGGGACGCCAGCCACAGGTCTGCTGAGGCAGGTCTTTCACCCCGCTCCCTGGCTTCGACCCGACCTCGATGCACGTCTGCCAGGACCTGCGCATCGAGATCCCACGGCGTCATACACGCGAGTACGCAGGCGGCGCCGTGGCTGACCGTGTGGTACGCTCGCACGGCCCGGGTGCGTTCACAGTTAAATGAAATGTTGCACCGATTTGGACATATAAAGCGATAAATCATTTTAGAGAATTGCAGCATAATTCACCCAATAGGAGCAAAGTAGGAAGATTTTACGGTAATACATACAGGCAGGCCCAATTATTGTCGTCAACAATTTTTGTTAAGATTCCTCGCACCTGGGGGTATCCGAAAATACCCTATGTATGTTCCGCGATTTTTCTTAGTGTTCGAGTTATATTTTTTTTTGTGTAATTTTAATGATTTCTGCCAACGAAATTTCAAAAATTTATATCTTTCTTCGTAGTAGCTATTTTGTATTTTAAATCTTAGTGGAAAGTGAAACCGAAATTATTGTAAAATTACACATGCTAAAGTTATTTTACAGGAATTTCAATTAAATTTAAATTGAAATTACATTTTTAAGTTTAATTTACATAACAATGATAAAAAGTGGATAAAATAATTTTTAATGCTTTAATCGTGTTTCAATGATTTTTAGCCTATCCGCCTTCGAAGGTCCATTACAACAAAAATAGGCTAATTAAATACATTTTTTTATGATTTTTGGTAGTTGAGAAACATGCGGAGTTTTCAATTTTAGCCAGAAGCTATGGAAACTCCTTTTTGTATTTTTAAATTGAAGTTGAATGTTTGAGTAAATCCTACTTAAAACTAAAGTTCCAACTTTTAAGCCTTTTTTGAGTAAATGTAAGTAATTTCAGGAAGCTCAGTTATTTTAACAACATTCAAGACAATTATGTCAGAAAAAAAAGACTGCAAAATACTTATGACGAAAAAAGATATGAATTTTTGAAACCTCGCTGGCAGAAATCATTAAAAATACACAAAAAAATATAACTCGAAAACTAAGAATCATTGCAGAACATACATGGGGTATTTTCGGATACCACCAGGTCCGAGGAATCTAAAAAAATTGTTGACGTCACTAATTGGACCATCCTACATACATAAATAAACTTGCCTAAATATACAAAGGTAAATACAATACCTATCCAAATATACATAACATACATATAAGCCTGAAAATAAATACTAATATACGAAACAAGATACTTCGTGAGAAAGTTTCATTAGAGATTTCTGTTTGAGAAAATGACCTTTAACTTTACTTACAGTCCGAGGTCTGATTCTCACATATCGTATAGAGTATTTTATAAACAATTTGAAATAATACTGCTAATGATTTTTTATTTACTTTGTCGAGCTACCTTCGAAAGACGTTCGAAGATTAACCCGTTAAAACTAGTTTTATAAAAAAACTGATACCAGAAAGTTGATCCACAGCACAAGTTGGCGAGTATGTATGTAGGTACGTACGTTACGTTCATTGTACACACTAATACTACTCTTATGTCCATATTTTGTCCATCAGAAAAAAGTAAGGTCTGGTGGCCTTGGGATCCTGAAATATTAGTGTTTGTATCACAGAAATAATCTTGATTTATGTTTTTTTGTGACCTGAATGTGATTTCCTTTTATCGTGGAACGTTCCAGATAAACTGAAAAACGTTGCCAACGTGGGCTTGGTGCTGCTGATGATATTGGCGGCGTATTCACATATAATGGTGGGAGATCCGTTCGACCGATGTGCTCCCGCGTTGGTCTTCTTCTTCATGTTAAGTGGCCGGCTTGTAGTATGGTAAATATAAACACATTATCACGAGATTGAAATCGTTTACTGCATGTATTTACAATAACAAATATTCCAGTTATTATTTATTGCATTATTTACCCAGTTTTATATTTGCATATCTAGCAGCGTGCTTTAACGTGGGTAGATATGACGTCATCGCTGTTCCCAATCCACTGGTTGCTGTCTCACGTTTCTGTCATCGTGATTTATATAAATAAATACACGAAAGAAAAAATAACACTGAACCATGTAATGTTGTTTGCGTGAGCGTTTTTAGTTGCAGATTGCAGTACAGATACAGACAGGGTAGGACCTTGCATTTTATTATAGTTTGACTATCACATGCTGTCTTTATCTTACAATAATAATGGTTGCTCTTCATTTAGTGTATAAATATGGAAAAATAAAATAGTTTTAATAAATAGATACGATTTAAACTGGATATGAAAAAATAAGATTTACCGATTGATATATATTTAAAGTCTGCTGTCCCCGCCTGCCTCCCCGACGCCCTTGATTTTCTCATTTCTCAAACAAAGTAAGTATTCTGCATAACAAGTGCTTATCCATAGTTAACTCAGTATTAAACAAGTAGGATGTGTATTTAAAAAAGCGTACATTTGTAGGAAAATAACACTAACAATTCGTCAGGAGTATCACTGACAGCATGGCGAGCAGCCAATGGCCTGTATGCACATTAGCACTAATTTTATATGTCGTAACAACCACTGTTTACATGTGAAGAAAATGGTCAAGGTCTTTTAGAAATCAAGGACTGTTCTAACGGAATTTTTTATTGCATGCATACGACTTGAAAACAACGAAAATATCAGGCATTGAAGAAACGAAAGTTAATTTAAGAATGCCATTCAACAATATAAAGGAAGGAAATATTAAGAGTATGGTATTATTTTAGGCGGGTGAAACCGTGGGACACTGCTTGTATAATACGTACTACAACCTTACCTGATAAATACGCATTTATATACTTACCGAAAAGCCCAACCAAATCGGGTCAGTAGTTTTTGAGATAATCGCGGACAAACATTCATACATGCAAGTAAAACTGGGAACGTGCTTTTTTGAAGTCTGTTAAAAAAATACTGTGAAACATGATGCAAGTAAAACTTTTAAAGGTTTTTTCCACGCCTAAAATAGTTTTTCTAAAAAAAAATTCATTTAACCGAAAATTTTACTTGCAATAAATGCGTGTGCGGAATTTTGCTACCGACACTCAGTAATTGATTTTAAAATGAGAATGAAGTCTGTTAAAAAATCCTTTCTTGGTTGGAAATTGAACCCGGGCGGGCCGCCCCCGTGCCTGGCGAGCTACTTACCACTGAAACACCGCTGTTGGTTGCTGACTCGTAAGGGTTGAATTTTTTCATAACAATAAAAATGTAATTGACATGCCAAAATTGAATTTAAACTTTAAAAACATTTCTGCTACCTGCAAACTCGAATGTGATTCCAATCCCAACTGAATCAAGAGCACTACAAGTTTGAAGCTTCATCTACCCACAACTCATACTTTACGCCCTAAATATATTAGGACTGCGGTAAAAACAGGTGAGGCATAAGCAGGGGCGTATTTTAAAATCTGGCGTTATATTAATTATGTTATTTCTGACTGCCGAAGGTTTTTTAAATACCTCACGCTCATTTCCTTCAATATTGTTATAACCAACGAAAAAGAAAAACAAAGAGCGCGAGGCATTTGAAAACCTCTGGTGGCCAGGAATAACAAAAAGAAATCGTAAGCGATAGCGATAGCCATAGCAATCCCGTTAGGCGAATGGCCCCCTGATGACGGGATGCGAAATCGCTACAACTGCAGTGGCCATCCGTCCAGAACAGTTTCCCCGAGAGAGAAACAGTTCTGGGCGGATGCGCGAGAAGAAGATACGCAAATAATGCTCCCCCAGTAACGCCCTCGGAGAAAATCATCACCGTAGAGCGAAGTCACTAAATTAACATTTCGCCAATATTGACTTAGAAATCATCAAAATAACCTTCATCTACGTATTTCAACCTTACAGCTATGTCTATAGTTATACGCCAATTATTTTCATTTGAGATAATGCAAAAGCACTAACTATACTTTTGAATTGCAACACATTGTACAACAAGTTGGGTTAGTTAGTTTCCCCTTTACCAAGTTAATCAGAACTAGAACTTATTTAATCCATGGAAAAATCCACTAAAATGACTCGGTTTATATAAAAGTGACTATAATAGTTTTTCTTTTTAAAACTGTTCCAGACAGGGATAAACAGTCACTAAATCTATTTACAAATTACAACGCAATAAAAACTAATATGTTGTTAGGTCGGTACCTACTGGATTTGAGGGTGAAAAATAAACAAGTTCGTGTTTATTTTATTAATTCAGCAATAGGGGTGATGACGGGGTACAGTAAACGAAATTCTATTTAGTCCGTCAGTTAGATGATCAAAAAATAATGGACATGTATTTTTTCTTTGGGCAATCAACCAAAAAATGACAAAGTTATAACGCGTCAAAGTTTGGAAGCTCGTGACGTCACTTTTTAGTGAATTTTCACTTAAAAGTGTACTTAAACGTGACGGTCATGCGACTTTTCAAATCAATATATCTCTGCAATGTTTATATTATGTGAAAAAAGAAAATACTTTTTGATAATCTACCTGATAAACGAAGAAAAAAAAAGTAATAATCTCTTATCTATTAGACAAGTCCGTCCGTCCGTCCGTCTGTGGTGCTGTTTCAGCGGCCAAACCGTAAGAGATAGATAAAGAGAATGTTTAAGTTATAAGTTAAGAATAGTCTGATAAGACTACAAACCGGATTTGAGTAACGTAGCACTTCCGGTTTCCGAGAAATCACGAATTTAAAAAGAAACCACACAAAATCTCCGAAGTTCTCAATTAATTAAATACATTTTCTTTTTTTTTTCAATCAGGTTTTGGTGAACATTTGGTATTTATTTCCTGAGTTATGAAACCATACAATTGTAATGACCTCTTACCAAAAATGACTTATGATTTTTTTAGTTTTTTAAAGCGAAACCTTCATAGCTCAAAAGTCAAAACACGTTTTGACCCAGTAGCGTAGCGCGACTTTTTGATGCACGAACTATCCTGTGCGGGCTTAGATTATATAAAGAAGGGGCAGCAAAGCATTCTGAGATGTAATTGTAAATGTGTTCTGTATGTGACACGCCATGAGACAAATATTTATAAGACGCACGCATATCAGTATTATTTACAAAGAATAATCCATATTACAATACAACATTATAAGTATACCTTTGTATTTTTAGGGTTCCGTACCTCAAAAGGAAAAACGGAACCCTTATAGGATCACTTTGTTGTCCGTCTGTCCGTCCGTCCGTCCGTCTGTCAAGACCCTTTTTCTCAGGAACGCGTGGAGGTATGAAGCTGAAATTTATATCAATTACTCAGGTCTACTGTCCCTTGAAGCTGTGAAAAAATCAAACTTCTAAGCCAACGCAATCAAAAGATACAGCCGTTTATGCCGCAAATTTTCGACACTTGCAAGGGAATCAAAACCTACAGGGTGCTTCCCGTGAACTCAGAATCTTGAAATTTGGTACCAAGCAACGTCTTATAGCATAGATAAAGGAAAAATTACGAAAACCATAAATTTTTAGTTACATCACATAATATTTTTTTTTTTAATAATTTTAACCTTACTACCCATTTCCTCATAAACGCGTAGAGGTATTAAATTGAAATTCATACCAAATACTCAGGTCTATAATACCTTTAAGCTGTAACAAAATCAAACTTCTATGTCAACGCAATCAAAAGAAACAGCAATTTAAGCTGCATATTTTGAAACTCGCAAGTACTCGCAAGGGAATCAAAACCTAAAGGGTACTTCCAGTCGACCTAGAATCTTGAAATTTGGCATGAAGCAACGTTTTATAGCACACATAAAGGAAAAATTCCGAAAACCTTAAATTTTTAGTTACATTACAAAATATATATTTTTTAATAAATATAAACTTATTACTTTTTTCCTCATGAACGCGTAGAGTTCGAGAGAGTAAGTTGAAATTCATTTAGACTAAAAAACTTAGTAAATAAATAACTTTAATAAAAGAACTTTCGCAAGTCTGCTGCAAGGCTAGTATAAGTGTTTCAGTTATATTATAGATAAATGATATGTGTTAATATAAAATAAAGGATTACTTAAACGATAAAGAGATCTTTGTCTTAAATTTATGCTCCTCCATCTTTCCCCATTGTAATGTTATGAATTTCATTTTGCAATAAAAATACCATAGTTATGACTCGATTGTCGTAATGAACGAACTTTGTAAACCTTGCAGGTTTGTACGGAACCCTCGGTGCGCGAGTCCGACTCGCACTTGGCCGGTTTTTTTTATAAGCACACAACTTGTGGGTGGAATACCGCAGAGAGTGCGAGAGCGTTTTGATGAAATGCCTGGATATCCCTAGTGTTGGACCAACACTAATAACCACAGAACAGAGAAAGAGGTTAACCTATTTCTGTGTTCTGTGCTAATAACAGAATAAATATAGGATAGATTAGGAGGTGCCAGAATAGGTACAAAAAAGATTCATCTCAATAAAAGAAAATGTGTTTCAGGTATCAAACCAGTCGCCGTGAAGAGTTGGAGAAGGTCGCAGCTACACAAAACGGGAACGGGCTCAAACGAGATTAAATTTCATAAGACGCACATTTAGTTTGGCAGTAAGATTTACGTAACGCGTTGTTCAATGAAAACTCAGCAAATCGAAATTAGTTGATAATGCAAAATCAACTCACTTTTCATCTCCGAAAAGTCTATTTTATACCATCAATTAATTTCGATTTACTTGATTTTCGCTGGCAACACCTACTTTAAAAAACAATGAATGGACTAAGTTGGTATTTAATAACCCAATCACTGAGCTGTGATTTTTCTAGTCAACTTTTATTCTAGCAATCTCATAACTACGAGTACCAATACAAAGCTGTCTGGTTTGTTATAATGTGGTA